TTATAGAACTTGTTATACGTAATCACTATTTCCTCTTAGAAAACAGTTTTTAATTTAAAATGACATGCTATCAAGTGATGTCTCTAAAAAAAATCAAGTAACTAGCTGGTGTGCTGGCCTATGCCTGTAATCTCAGTTATTTAGGAGGTTGAAGCAGGAAGACTTCAATTTTAAGGCCAATCTGAGCAACTTTGTGAGACCCTGTCTCAAAACAAAATAAAATGGGTTTGGGATGTATCTTAGTGATAGAGTGCTTGCCTAGCATGTATGAGACCCTATGTTCAATCCCCTCCCCCAGCCAAAAAAGTGCTAAAAAGACTAACCACGTTTATAGTAAACCCTTGCCTTTAATTTGTAAGTCAACTAAATTTATTGTCGTTTTTTCTTACTTTATGGATGGCAATATACACTCAGAAGAAAAGGCAGGCCTAAAAACAAAGTCGTGTATTATGAATACTTTTTTAGTGATTTCCTCAAATCTCCAGATTATAAGAAAAATATGACATTTAATAGAAAATAAATAGCCTGTACATGTAGTGACAACTGCCTCATATATCAAAATGCCACTTTCCTTTCTTTCTTTCTTTTCTTTCTTTTTTCTTTTGTGGTTATTAACTGTTTCAAAGAGGTTAAATATTTTAAAATCTAAAATGAAAACTCATAAAAAACACTGAAAGGCACAGTATGCCTTAAATGAGTTTTCTTGGTTTCATAAGCTTTTCTTATTTCTCCTTCACAGAGAGCTTCGAAATTAAAATTAGCATTTGAAAAAAAATCATTTAAATTTCTGTTTAGTCGTTATGCTGTACAGGTGCAATTCTGAATGAAATAAATTTACCATCTATTGTCTCAATTTTGACAAGTTTACAATTATACTAACAAAAAGGTGACATATCTTTCACAAATAGAAACTTCTGTTGGAGAAAAAAATCTTAAACATAAAATCCATTTCCATAAATAAATGCAAACAACGTACTTCCTCTCTTTTATACTAATATTACACCATTATGTAAAGCTGTTAATATTATTCCTGGTAGCATCAGAAAGAAATAAAATAAAGGAGTCACTCAGTCATTACTGACTTTCTCTATAAGACCAGACTACATGATAGGGATAAAAAATAAGATCTACTCCAACCAGGAGTATAATGCTTAGTAGAATACATAAACCATATAACAATACAGAATGTGACAAAATACAAAAGGAGAAATGCATTTAAATGAAGAGTCAGGACAGCATGAAAGCATAAGAAATTCTGTTTCCACTTATGTGTAAGCTCTCTGGCCATGTTTGTTCCATGGGTGCTGGATGATAACTAGCTCTTAGCATAGTTATCAGGTACATGTTAAGCGGTCAATAAATATTCAAGGAAAAAAATGGAAAGAATGCTTCATATAGAAAGCGATAACAGACATGAATGTCAAAAGACACATAGAAGTTAAACAGACAAAAAAAGAAGAGTACTCCAAACAGAATAACAGAATGGAAAACACACACCTTTTAACAATTTACCTTTCAGCATTTTACCCACAATATTTTTTTATAAGTTAACATTTACCCAGCTAAAATATCTTAATTTTAAAGAAACAAAATAAATAAAAAGAACTCCAGTACCATGGCATACCTCTCAATGGTCTCTGAGTATTGTAAGTTCAGTCTTAATTACCACAAATGAAACCAAGTATAATACTCACAAAAATAACCTACAGCTCCGAACAAACAGAAATAAAGTATGTATAACCAAACACCATTAAGTTAGATCTAATTAAACTCCATTTTAAAATTAATTTAATAAAATCTAATTTAGTAAAGTTAACTTTATAATAGTCACACTGAAGAAAGAATATAATCTAAGACAGAAATATAGAAAAGAAACTTGATGCCTAAACAATAGCAAAAAAGTCAGTTGTCAGTCTATGTCTGATTACTGTTATCCCAAGTTCTGAGCATGTGATCTTTTGATTCATGGTTTAAGTCAATGATAAATATTTGCTGTGGGTTTGATCAGGCTACTGTGGCTTCACAAAATTTTCTTAAAAGGACCGGTAATAATACATTAAGCTTGTGGGCCACATAACCTGTCACAACTATTTAATTCTGCTATTGTAGCATAAATGTAGGCACAGAATGTTTATAGCTGGATTCTAGGAAATCTTAATTTAAGAAAACTGGCATTTGTCACATATCTACAGTTCACCCACCTTGTCTTAGGTCTCAAAGCAACTTCTAAATAATTCTTTTTATTGAGGGGTTTGGATGTAGTGCTGTGTTAACAACGTAAGCTTAGCATGAGCAAGGCCCTGGATGAAATCTCCAGTAGCAGCAGTAACAACAACAACAATAATAATACTAGTAATTCTTTTACTGAGACAGCTTTACTTTCTTTCAAAGAAAGGCTTTTACATAATTTACAGATACCTAGAAGGCAGATCTTATCTTGTAACACAGATGAAGAAACCGAAATTCAAAGGAGTTAAATGACTTAAGAACTACTAGCAGAGCTTAGTTGAACTAAGACAACCTTTTTATTTTTGGCAGTGCTGGAGATCAAACCCAGGGCCTAGAACATGCTAAGCAAACAGTGTACTATTGAGCTACCTCCACAACCTTGAGACAACTCTTGTTCTTTTGATGACTCTTAAGGATTTTCCTCTACACTCAATCCTCCAATGCACCAACTTAAACATTTCAATCATTTTTAGAATTCTCTCCTGAATCCCTGAACTCTTTTTAGCAGACTCAAGACAGAGTATATTTCAAGAACAAAGACTTTTCTGTCCATTCATTTACTTCAATTCTGAGATCAAATTATTCTCAACTCCCTTCTCTTTATATGATCCTCAGCTTCCCCCATTTAAGCTACCTTCTTGTTCATAAGTCTTCTAAAATATCAATTACTATTTAGTTAGCCAGAAATAAAAAGGTGGTTTTGTAGACTATTTTAATTTATTAAGAATTTTTGGGGGCTGGGGATATAGCTCAGTTGGTAGAGTGTTTGCTTAGCATGCTAAATACCCTGGGTTCAATCCCCAGCACACCAAAAAAAAAAAAAAAAAAAAAATTTTTGTACTCAGTAATGTAAATGAGGCAACTAAGTCCAGTGCCTGACAGGTATTGAAAAATGCCTGATATATAAACATGAAACTAAGGAGCAATAAAACAAAGAAACGAGGAAATATAATTTACAGTACATACAATACAGATGTACCTTATATGAGGTTTACATAATGCTCTGAATTTTGCATAAATTTTAATAAATACTTAATAACTACAAGTACCTCTTGACATTGTAATAATACAGTTGTTACTGCCATGAAAAAACTTATATTATTAATTCCTTGGCCAAAAACAACTATCAAAGATAGACACAGTACAGAATATTCTAATTGCATTGTAGTTTGCACTGAAAATGTGATCATGCACACTGAAACTGCAAAGTAATCTCTTATTTTTTAAATATTTTTTTTAGTTGGTGACAGACCTTTATTTTATTTATTTATATGTGGTGCTGAGAATCGAACCCAGTGTCTCACTGGGTGCGCTTCCACTGAGCCACACCCCTATCCCCACAAAGTAATCTTAGTTAATGAAAAAAACTACAATTACTGCATGATCTTTAAGATTTATTTATTGTCAAAATGTAAAATAACTGTTATAAATTTATATAGGAAAATAAAAATAATTATTATATTGTAATTTTAAAATATTAGAAACATTGATTAGAATGTTTTATTTATTCTTAAGCCTGGGTGAACTGGAGTATTTCTATGTTGTAATCAACTTTCACCATTTTATCATTTGTATTTTCAGTATCATGGGCTATCTCTGAGTATTCCTTTAATATGAACATCAACAACATCATTTATTCTGGAACTCCTTCATCCTTTATGTCAAATCTACTTTCCTTATTTATGCTAATGAGTTCACCTCATTTAGTTCCTCTGGCTGCATATCCAGTCTCTTGAAAGGCAGCTATCTCAACTTTTCCAGAGCCAGCTACTAGCCAGTTACCTTCTACTTTCCAATACACAATTTTTTGGCTGCATTTATGTTCCCTTGCCAATTCCCTCTTTTTTGTTTATAAAATGTTACATGGGCTTATTGTTGGAAACAAGGAAACATTATATCTGCATGCTTTGCTGTCTATGGACAACATGAATAACTAATGCATAGTGACAAATCACTGACAGACAATGTAAAAAGCAATATGATTTGTCACTGATCATGAACACATCCACTGTTATGTAATGATTCTTGGACTAAACAGCCAGCAATAAAATTTGTACTTTATGTAACTAATTATAGTTAATATACCATGATAACTGAAATTTGAACTATAAGGTCAGTGAACTAGTATTATCTAATTGAATCACAGTAACTGAAATACAGGAATCATGTGAAGTAAGGAGTATATTTAAACCAACCCCGTGAAGGCAGTAGAGGGAAATCAACACAGGCAATATTAAGGATTTATGATCTCCAAAAGATGGAGAACACAGAGATGAGTTTCATGCTCCTCTCATCTACTTCTGTGAAGGTATTTTATAAACCACAGAGAATAGCAGACATAGTAATGCAAGCATAAAGAAAGTCTGCTGTTCTGAGAAAGCATAGACTGAAGTTGGATCTGTGCCCAAGTAGAGGGTATCATGGTAAACACATCCACAGTTTCCACCTGTGATCCCAGAAGGGTAATACCTAAGGAATGAGGAAGAAATACTACCAGTAATGGCATTTTCTTCAGAAGCTACAACAAAGTTTATGTTGTCTTAAGTCACAGAATAAGTTACTTAAGTCTAGTGCTAGAGAATTCATGAACAGAGGAACACTGGGAGAGTATAATATAAGGTATGACTAAAAGTAGCCACTGTGAAAATTTGGGCAAGAAGGCTAGAATTAACTTGAACCACCAATTCTAAAATATATCACTTGTTTACATGGTTATGGTTTTATCATGTTTTATAAAGTGGTACTCTGAAATTAAAAACTGCTATAGTTACCATTTTGTAGTCCCATCCAAAGCTGCTTATGATCTTTTTTCTGCATTTCATTGATTACTTGACTTTTATGCTTTAAAGCATCAGCTTCTTTCATACAAGACATAAAATGAGCTTCAATTGCATCCTTAGATGGACAGTGCAGAAGGTCTTTCTCTGGAAAACTCTATCAAAGGGGGAAAAAAAACATATAAAAACAGATATACACACCACAATTTTGCCTTTATAAAGAGAACTGTATCCCTGAATTTTCCAATATTTACCTTCACAATAACCACAAATACTTCTTTAACTTAACTTTAAAATCATTAGCTATTTGTCACATTTTGTACTTTTCCCAAATAATTCTTACATATATTTGTAATAACACAGAAAAGGAGTGCAATAATTTAAAAAACAGCTTTTCAACTGACCACATCAAGAGTTGAAAGGATGTAGAATGGGACTCCCTCATACCAATGATGGGAATGTAAAATAGTGTAACTAGTTTGGAGAAGTTGGTAGTTCTTCTACCAACTTAAAAAAGGTTGGTAGTCCTTAAAAAGGGTAACCACAAACCTACCATCTGAACCAGTCATTTTACAACTATGTATTTAAGAGAAATTAAAGTATATCCCTATACAAAGACTTGTACATAAATGTTAACAACAACTTTATTTTAATAGCCCAAATAATCAACAAGTGAATACATAAAGTATGGTATAAACTTTTATTAAAGTATATACTGTATGTTGAGTTTACTATTCATCAATTACCTCAATAAAATTGTTTAAAAGTTGTTCTTAAAGTAAAATGGCTAAAGTCACATTCTATGACTTCACTTGATATAATACACGTGTATCGACCATTACATTCAAAGTAATCAGCATTGTTATTTCTATTTAAGTTGGTTATTTCTATTTAAGTTCAATTGCTTTCCATTCCAAGCCTATAAAGCAACCACTAAAACCTAAAGTCACAGAATTAGAAAAGAAGTTCAGTGTATTATAAACATAAGACACAATTTTTAATAATTTCTAGAAAATGTTAATTTTGGTATAATTAATCTATAAATTTAAAAATGTTTTTCAATTTCAAAACAAAGATACAATTTTTATTTGTCATTTTAAAAACTGAGCCTTGAGTTGGGAATATAGCTCAATGTAGTACACTTGCTACTATGTCTGAGGCCATGGATAGATCTCCAGAACCACAAAACATACAAATAAAAATAAAAGTAAACTCTAAAATTATCTTTTAGATATCATTCATTCTCTAGCCTATTGCTTATAGTTTGATATTATAAATGAGTGGCTGAAAATATAAATGATCTTATTCCAAAGGAAAAAAAATTTGCCTATTTAAGTACTACTCATATATTTCTTAAAATTTTATGTACAAGTTGATTATGGGAGGGCGAAGCAGTTAGATTTCTCAAAACAGTGGTTGGAGAAGCCTCGAATAAAACACCATTGGGGGTAACTTTTGCTTAGCCTAGCTACTCATCACAACACTACCTATGCTTAAAGAATGTCTCACAACTATAAATGATAGCTTACAACTATAAATGAACACACTTTATAGCAAAAGAAAGTTCTATCGAGAGTGTGCAGATATTTTGTGTATACCCTTAATAGAATGTCCACCTCTATATATACGAAGGCAGTGAGGTCATAAATTATATGAAGTTAAGGGAAACAAGAGCAATAGCAGAAAAAGGAGAGGTCTGCTTAAGCAGCCAAAGCAGTTAAATTGATTGTGGCAAAGAAGAAAGTGATAGATGTCTTAGCTTAAGCCCCACAGCTTCTACTCATGAAATGCTCCTCTTTCTATGATTAGCTTGAGATGGGAATGGAAAGTCTTTTTATAAAACTTCACAATGAAACTAAAAACAGACCCTTGATTCATTACATTTCTAATCTTTTCTAACATGCATTAGCCATTGTATATAAGTGCATTTATTTTCAATCCAAACAAATTCTTCTAGATAAAGGTGGTAACTCAGACATCATGTTTACTCTCTTTCATTAATCTTCCAAGTCAGATCCACAATAAATCAAATTTAATTTCACTTTTACAAAAGTAATCTGAAAAGTCCCATTTACTTAGATATTATTACTTGTATTGTTTAATTAAAATATTAATCCAGACTGTTTGGAATGTGTCCAGATGCATTAGAGAGAATGAATAATGTTAAAAGAAAGAAAAAAGGCATTCAACTTATTAGTAACACTGCAGACACAGGGTACTCTGTTAAAACAATAAAGCAAAGCCAAAAATGCATTTTCCTTGTCACCTCTGAAAAATCCAACATCTGATTAAACAAGCTGAAGTTGCCAAAGCATAGCAATGTTATTACTGAGTTACCTCTAAAAGTTGGTTCAACATTTAGACAGAAAAATGAGGTAACATTTTTAAAGTTTACTTTAAAAGAGTGTATTATAAAAAAGAAGCTAAGTTAATTGAAACAATGCTAAAAATCAATGCACCAAAACCTGTTAATATTTCTTAATTTTTTAATTCTATCAAGATACAATCTATACAATTACCTATAATCAACCATCTCTTTTCCTCCTCTTAAAAATCTATGGGATATCTCTCTTCCTGTTTTCCAGATCCCATTTGTTGAACCTTTGGAACCTGGCCCAATTAATTAATCCTTTCCCTTTCCATAGTTATCTTCAGTGATTTTCTCTCTTAATGACTGGTTCCTAACAGTGTTCTTTCATCTTGAAACATAGTAACAGCTACCCCAAACAAAAACCAAACCGGTTCCCTCAACTTCAACTTCTCTTTGGCTACAGCCTTCTATCTCATCTCCCCTTTACATTCAACCTTTAAACTCACCAAGGTCCTTTACTCTTATGAATCTACCACAATATGATTATTATCCTTAAGCACTCCACTGCAGCTGCTCTTTCCAAGGTCAACAATTATACCTTTTGATCTTTATCTGTTTTAAGCACTCACTAAATATCTAATACCTATGATTATTCTACATGAAGCAGTCATCTACAAGATTCTTGTTACTGCCACTTCTCATTTTTCTCTTATGTATTCTTAACCTCTTATGCACATTCCCTTTTCAAATTCCTAGCCTAGGACTTCTTCACTTTTTCATTCCATATGCTCACTCTGAATAAGATTACCTTATTCATCTTCAGACACATACAAATCTAGTAGAATGTTCCACAAAAACATGTGAAATTCAACAAATCCAAAAATAAACCAATGATTTCTCATCTTCCATTTCTAATCTAGCTCTGTTTGGTTTACATTCTAAATAGATCTGTAATTTACTCACTTTCAACATCCCCACTGCCATTTTCTTTGTCCAGACTAAGATCTATTGGTGGTTTCTAAAAAAAATCTCTTTAACTGGGCCCTACTCCTACACTCTTACCCACAAATCATTTTTTACAATCAGAGTGATTGTCCTAAAATGCAAACCTAATGTTCTCATTTCACATGGTTCTAGTTTTAGGATAAAATCAAACTGATTCTAAAGTCTTCAAGATTCTAAATTACTCTGGTCTCTGTTAACCTCTCTGGCATAATCTCTCATTACCATCTCACCCTATTCCTTCTGCACACTAACCCCACACTCCTGCTCCAATGATTTTATCTCATTTCCTTCAACATTCTTTGAGTTCTTTCAGCTATATCTGTGTCCTTACACTATTTCCTCTGCCTAGAACATTCTTTCTCCATGTATCACCTAACCACTTTTACAACTGCCCCCTACCCCCCCCCCCAAAAAAAAAAACCCTCCTTGGTCTTCAGATACAGCTTCTACATCACTTCCTCCAGAAATCTTGCCCTTTCTCTAAGCCAGGGTTAAGGTAACAATATCCTTATCCTTGACTCGATTATGACATTTATTTGGCAGTATTATAATGTCTATTGGCATATTCTTAGGTGACAGTGCCCTGAAAGTTCACAAGACAGAGGCCATGAATGTTCTCACCTCTCTCAATAGGTGTGTGTGTGTGTGTGTGTGTGTTGCTGAGGACTGAACCCAGAGATGCTTTACCACAGAGCTACATTCCCTGCCCTTTTTATCTTTTATTTTGAGACAGGGTCCCACCAAGTTGCTGAGACTAGCCTCAAAGTTGCAATCCTCCTGCCTCGGGCTTGCTGGGACCAAAAGCATCCACTACTGCATCCAGTCTCAATAATTTTTAAAACCTTCACCGGGATATAATTCACATACAATGAAACACAGGAATTTAAGAACACAGTTAGTAGAGCTTTATCCCAAACCAGGTAATGGAATATTACCATTGACCCTCTCTTCCCACTCTGCCAAAAGTTATTTTGTACCTCTTGCATTCATTTCCCTCCTTCCCACCCAATCAACTGATATGATCTGTAACACCAGAGATTAATTTAGTCTGTTAAAAAAAAGTCATATAAATAAAACCAGACATGTAGTGTTGTATAATCTATCATCTTTCACTTAGCATAATGCTTTTGAGAATCATTCATGTTACTGCACATCAGTAATTAGGTCTTTTTTGTTGCTGAGTAGCATGCCATTGAATGAATGTTTCACAATGTGTTTATCCAAAGATCTCTTAAAAGATATTAGGATTGTTTCCAGGTTTGAACTATTATTAATAAAACTACTATGAACATTAATATACACAGTCTCTTTGTAGACACTGCCTTTTCATCTTTCTTGAATAAACATATGGAAACAGAAATGCAGGGTGATACAGTCTAAGTGTATATTTAACATCATTTAAAAACTGCCAAACTGTTTTTCAAAGTGACAGAACAATTTTAAACTCTCATCAGCAAATTATGACAGTTCTGGTTACTCCATGTCCTCAAACTTAGTACTTGGTGTCAGTCTTTTTCATTTTAGTCACTCTATTGAGTGTAAAGTAACATCTCATTGTGGTTTTAATTTACCTTTTTCCCTAATGACTAAATATGTTCAGTGCCTTTTCATGTGCTGGTTGGTAATTCATATGTTGTTCTGCAAAGTTTCTGGTCAAGTCTTTTACACTTGTTCCAAAGCAACTGATACGTTAGGAAACAAGCTGAATGCAATGTGAATTGCGTATACTTAAATAAAATAATGTCCATAATAGTAGGAAAATTGCATCCAGATAAACCAAACTGCATAGGAATACAGAACACACACACACACAGAGAGAGAGAGAGAGAGAAATGGACCCA